GCCAATCGGGGCGCCCCAGCGGCGGGGCGACGAGGCCGCCGTCGGGGCTGAGGATCGTGGCCGGGCCAACCCGCCCCACGCGGGGGCCGTCTGCGGGGGCCGTTGGAACTGCAGGGTTGGGATCCCGAAGGGTGGCCGGTGGCGTGGAAGGGGAGAAGGGGGCACCGGAGTCGGGGGCGGGGCGCTGGCATTCACGGGTGCTCTGCTGGATGGCTTGCCTGTTACAGTCCCCTTCCCCCGCTTTTGGCTTAAATAAATTCAAGTCCTTTTGAGGGTGTAGGGGGCTCCCCAAATTACTTTGTTGGGTTTTTTTTTTCTTTTTCTTTTTTTTTTTTTTGAGATAAAGACACCTGTTCCTAAAAGCGAAGCGTTCACACTCAACGTGAAATGAAATCAGGCTGAGGTTATGTGGCAGGGTAGTGGGTATCAAACTTGACCGCATCAGAATCATGGGACAGCTTGTCATGACAGGCCGGCTGGGCTCACCCGCAGAGTGGGATTCGGCAGGGCAGGTCTGAAGGCAGAGAACTGCATTTGGAACGGGTTCCAAGGGTGGTGATGCTGATGTGCTGGCTCAGAGAATGCACTTTGAGAACACTGAGGGTATTTCTCTTGTAACTTTATTTTTTAATGTTTATTTATGTTTTGAGAGAGAGAGAGAGACACACACACAGTGTGAGTGGGAGAGGGGCAGAGAGAGAGGGAGGCACAGAATTCGAAGCAGGCTCCAGGCTCTGAGCTGTCAGCACAGAGCCTGACTCGGGGCTCGAACCCACGAACCGTGAGATCATGCCCCCAGCTGAAGTCGCACGGCTGAACCGACTGAGCCGCCTGGGTGCCCCTGATACACTAACTTTTTATCTTGGTTTCACAGTTTGTAGGATATCATGATAGCTGGAATTTGTGGGGCAGGAGGCCAGGCTGCCAAGAAAGGCTGAAGGGGCTTCTGGGTTCTCCTTGGTACCACCAGACCTCTATTCGGTTGCCAGGACGACCGGTCAGGCCTTGCGGTCACTATGGCCCTGGATGGCCTGAGCACCGACTCCTCCTTGAACCGCCTCCCTGAGCATGCGTGCGTGTTGGGGGCCGGGTGGATAGAGGTGTGTGGCTGGCGGCTGAGGTGGGAGGTGACAGCAGAACCCTACCAGGTTTGCACAGAAGCACCAGGATAGCCGAGGCAGGCTCTTAGGGGACCTGAAGCTCCCGCACCCAAATCCAGCCGCCCCCCAGGGGCATGCCCCCCCCCCCACCGCATCTTTAGCAGCCCTCCATGTTCCCCTAATGCTGACCCCTTCCCCCACTCCCCTGGTCTCAGCCACGTGCAAGGCAGCTGGGGGACTGGAGTGGGTTGGAACCTCCCCTTGCCCCAGCTGCCCCCAGAGAGGTGAGGAAGATGAAGGCCTGCACAGGGTCCCCAGGAGGTAAAGCAGAGACAGGGCTCAGGACAGTGCCACCCTTCCAGCCACGTTCTCCCAGCAAGGAGAGAGAGGTCGTGGAGCTCCCCTGCCCCCTGTGGCTGTGGTCCCCTAAGGCCTGAACTGGGGGTCTCTCCCTCATAACCCAGCCAACAGCTTCCCACGTGTGATTTCTCTGCAGGCCTCGAGGCTTCCATCGGTGGCTTGACCACTCCAGGCTTCCACCCAGGGGACTTTGCAACGCTCCTAAAATCAGGGGGTCTGGGAGAGCTTGAGACTCCATTATCCCAGTCCCCACACCCTCCATGTCAGGGCATCTCGAAGCCTCTCAGACCACTTGGAAAGGGAGAGGCTCCACTTGGCGTTCCTGAGCTGCCATTGGGCCACCGCCAGGCCCTGGGTTTAGGCAGGGGGAGGGGAGAACTAGCTGAAAGACAAGGGAGGGTCTGGCCAGCTGCAGCATTTTGGGGGGAGGGTTTTTGTGCTTGTGCTTGAGGTTTGAGGGGAGCCCCTCGAACCACTGGCTGGCCCCTGTCCCGGCCCCTGCGGGGCCTCTCCTGGCCACGAGCTGGCACACGGGCCTCTCGTGGGACACACTCGCGTCTCCGCCCGCTGTGGAACCACCAGCCACTGTCCTAGAGCCCAGTGAGACTCGGGCAGGCCAGCGGGCAAATTTACCCCCAAAAGCTCTGGGCCTACCGGCAAGAGCAGTCACCAGGCCCAGGCACGTGCTCGGCGGCAGACACAGGTCAGAGCTTTGCAACTTGGCTTTGAGTTAAAGTTCACCACACCGTGGGCTTGGGGACCAGGCCCGGGACACAACTCTTCGGCAAAGGGTGCAGTCTGAGGGGGCCAGGGCCACAGAATCACGTACGAGCTGTGGCCCCACCAGCCACGAAAGTCTGTCCCTGACGGCGTCGCTATAGCACAGGCTCCTCCGAAGGTCCCTGAGTAAGAAGGCGGCGCATACAAGTGGCCGACGAGCGTGTGAAAAGATGCTCAACACCACCGATCATCAGAGCGCTAGAAATCACAACCGCAGTGAGCTATCACCTCACAGCCATGAGGGTGGCCATTATCCAAAAACACCGACGTGGCAAGCGTTGGCAAGGGTGTGGAGAAATCGGGACCCCCCCCCCCCCGCGCTGCCGGCAAGATGGTAAAAAGGCAAAGCTACTGTGGAAGACGGTGTAGAAGACACAAGTCAACAAATTGAAGACAGGACTACCACATATCGCCCAGCAGTCCCGCCTGTCTGTATAAATCGCCAAAGGAATCGAAAGCAAGGTCTCAAAGAGATAAGTGCGCTCTCCTATTCATCGCAGCATTATTCGCGGTAGCTAACGGGTGGAAACAACCCAGATGCCCCTCAAGGGATGGGTGGGTAAAGAGACTAGTAAATCGTTATGTTTTTTGCCACCATAAAAGACACGAGAAAGGGGTGGGGGAGCTGCGAAGATCATTTAGTCCCATTCTCCCAACTCACAGATGAGAAGACTGAGGCCCAGAGAGGAGCCCATTGCCCGGGTACGCAATCCTGGCAGCATTACATGAGGGCAGGCTTGGCAGATTGCAGACTGTGACACAGCAGAGCAGTGCGTAAGGCCAGCGTGTGGCTGGGCTCAGGCTCAATGGCTATGGTTGGAGCTAGCTTTTAAGAGGTGGCCACATGTACCAGGAGCACTTAGAGAGGCCCGAGTGAGTTATCTAGAAAATTCACTTAAGAGGCACAACTCCCGTACGGCCGATGTCGGTTAATCCTCTCCCGACTCCAAGAGCCAAAGCCGCGAGCCCCCTCCGGAGAGCCCCTGCGCACCCCCAGAAGCCTGAAGAGCTGGGGTGGGGGCGGCTGTAAGCAGGGGAAAACGTGGGAAGCCAACTTAGATGGAAATGCGCTTCTGTCACTGCCTGACACTCAGTTTCTCCGTCTCTGGACAATAGGACTAATCCAGCGCCAGGCACAAGGCAGGTGTCTAGGAAAATGATCCTGGCTCTGGGGCACCCGGGTGGCACAGTGGGTTGAGTGTCCGACTTCGGCTCGGGTCATGATCTCGTGGCTCGTGAGTTTCAGCCCCATAAACGCTGCCTGCCTGTCAGCGTAGGGCGCGTTTCGGATGCTCCGTCCTTCTCTCTCGGTCCCTCCCCCACTGGCGCTCTCCCAAAAATAAATATTAAAAGAAAAAAAAAAGGATACCGGCTCTGGAGCTGGTCTCATCCATTCCTATCTAGGGCCACCGTTTCCTGGGTGAACTCTCGGTGCCTCAGGAGCTTTATCTGCAAAATGGGGAAACGGTACCTCCCAGGACAGCCCTGAGGGTTAAATGTGTTAGTATCAGCTACTGTTGGGAGATACTGAGGCCAGACTGCGTGTCCCTTTGTCCCTCACACGTCTCGTTGCCCACCACAACCCTCTAGGCCTGACAGGAAATCCTATCACAGGGCCAGGCAGAGCAAGTCTGGGGTGTGGGACCCGCTGCCAGGGCTCTGAAATGTTGTCTGGTGTCTCCTTGGCCCTGGGTGTGGCTTGTCCGGGGCCATGGAAGCTGGGGGCAGGGATGGGAGGAAATCTGCGAGGCTGGAGATCAAGAGGGACCAGGCTGGCGGCTGGACAGGGTGACAGGGTTGGGTGGCCTTGACAGAGTCCTGATCTACTAGCTGAGAGGCCCTGAGGCCTCAGGCTAATCGGGGCCCCTTCAAGGTATCACCAGCCCCAGCACACACGGATTTCCGAGGCTGCTATGCCCCTCCCCCTCCCCCACTGGCCTGGACCCACACCGATACAGGTGGGGAGGGGATGTGGAATCACAAGACACCTCTCCAGGCCCACCCTGTGACTACTTTTCCTTGCGAAGAAACCATCTAGGAGCGGGAGTGGCTGGCAAGGCCACAGCCGTCATATCCCTGCCTGCCTGCCTGCGCTGCCTGCAGACATCACCAATCGATCCCCGCACCACTGTCTTGTACTCACACCCAGCAGCCCTGAGGTTTTGACTGTGAACTCCAACCTTCCATTAGAAAGAGGCAGGGAGGGGGAGCCTGGGTGGCTCAGTGGGTTGAACATCAGACTTTGGCTCAGGTCATGATCTCACGGCTCGTGGGTCCGAACCCCGCATCGGGTTCTGTGCTGACAGCTCAGAGCCTGGAGCCTGGAGCCTGGAGCCTGGAGCCTGGAGCCTGGAGCCTGCTTCAGACTCTGTCTCCCTCTCTCTCTGCTCCTCCCCCGCTCATGGTCTATCTCTCTCCGTCTCTCAAAACTAAATAAACATTAAAAAAAATAATAAAATAGGCAGGGATACCAGAGGGGGACCTGCCCAAGGTGCCCCTGAGACGGCTCCACTCTCCCCACAGGAGGCCATCCCGCAGGGGAGAGGAGGTGGGGATCGGCCCTGCTAACCCACAGCCCCACGGACTGGACCCGCTGGAGAAGACTCGAGTGGTACTCCCTACAGCAATCCCTTCAGGATTTGGGCCTAATCCCAAGCACGAGGGCGGGCTAGGGAAGGATTTGGTTTCATTCCTTCAGATGCCCAAGCCTTGGCCTGAGCCCCAGGGCGGAGGAGTGAAGGCGCGTGGCTGCCCAGCCTCTACCAACAAAGCCTTCCTTTATTAAATAGAGATCGTGTTACATTCCATTCAAAGGAGGAAATCAGCCACGGTGAGGGATGTGTCCAGGTTGGACCCCGGTCCTGAGTGGGCTGTGAGGGGCGAGGAGGGGCCTGTGTCCTGCCCACCCTCCCCCGGTCCTGTGTACAGGGCTTGGCGACCTCAGCCCCCACTGTCTGAACGGCCACCCACAGCTGAACACAGACACGGTGTCCTGAGGCCCTGTCTGTATTTTACTTCGGGAGCAAAGTATCCTAATCCTTCCAGTGGTGGGGGCAGGGCCTCCAGGAGCACAAGGCTCAGATGGAGGAGGGGGGGAAGGTCAAGTGCGAGGGTGGGAGGAGGGGCCCTGATCCATCTTAAGAACAGTTTGGGGTAGTTCTCAAGCAGATGGTGTGCAAGTCCTTGACAGCCCCTTGTGGCCGCACTGCCCCCACGGGAATGGGGGAGGGATGGCCACACGGGGGTGCTGGTGGCCCAGGGCTTGGGAACCGAGGTGGGAGATACCCTGGAGGTCAGGCCACCCAGTGTGAGCCCTTTCTGAGGACATCACAGCAACAAGGTGACTGCAAGCAGCAGCTCCCAGGCCTGCAAAGGGGGTGCTGAGCCCCTGAGTGTGGGTCCAAGCTCCTTGGTCTTTGGTGCCTTCTTGAAAGTCTCCTGGTGGCTGTAGGGCCACTGGGGAAGGGCGAAGGGTCAGCTCATGAGGTCCTGTCTTTCCCGGGATGAAGATTTGGTACCGGCTCAGCAAGGCCTCCATGGCCTGGCCATCTGTCCATCTGCTCGGCTTCTGGCTCAGGGCTGGCGCCAGGACCCTGTCTTCCTGTCTGTCTGTGCCGGGGCAGGTGTTGGCTGTGGCTCAGAGCCCCCCTCCAGGCTCCGGCCATGCCCTAGGCCTCCTGGGGAAAGAAGCCGAGCTTGGCCAGCGACATCTCCTTCCGCAGCCTCGTGATCTCCCAGAACATCGGCTCCGCTGTAGGCAGAGAGAAGGTGGAGGGCTCAGTGACAGGGTCACCTCAGGCAGATGGTCCAGCCCCCGGTCCCCTAGCTTTGGGCAGGGCAGCTGGCAGGTACCCTAGGGCTCCCCGGTCCCCCAGGACAGATAACCTCAGTAAGTGGCTGGACCTCTTACAAGCGCCACGCTGAGGCCTTGCAAACTGTTGAGGGCTGAACCCACTCTGCACCGTACCAGTGGGAGAGGTGACACCACCCCTACGGCCTGACACCCACCCACACAAACACGCTGCCACACATTTGGTGGTGATTTCCAACCCGTACCCTTGGGGTCTCAGAGACCCCGAGCAGTCAGCAGAGCCATGGATTCAGCCCAAGATCCCCTCCAAGGCCTTGACCCCCAAGCTGGGGAGGAGAGGCTCAGACTCCAAACGGACTGGGCAGCAGGGAACCGAGTTTGGAGGAGGGGCGGGAAGCTAGACCTTGCAGAATAGGGCTGAAGGGGATAACAGGTGGATGCAGGACCAGCCCTGGCAAGAGTGAAGTGGGAGGCAGCGTTCAGTGTCAAACGACCGGCCGTGAGGAGGTTACCCCCAGCGGGGAGGAGATTCACAAGGGACACCCCATCGTGCAAGGTTTCTGATGCCCCAGGCCGGGGCCTGGGAGAGGTTGCTGGGTGGGAGAAGGCAGCCGGACCCGGCAGACCCTGGCAGGGTCCTCCCCTCTGTCAGGGCAAAGCCCAGCCGGTCGACCCCTCAGATGCTGGCCCGCCCTCTCGCTGCCCCCATCCCTCCCAGGCGCCGCCCTCGCCGGCCACCAGGGGGCGCTCACCTTCCTGCCGCACCAGGCCTTGCTGGATGTAGCGGATGTAGGTGAGGAAGTTGCACACTGCGGTGATCTGTGGACACAAGTGAAGAGGCTGTGACCTGCCAGCCCTCACGCTTAGGGTCCCCCCAAGAGCCAGGGCAGGTCGGAGACCCGAGCCACAAATCCCACGTTCCATCAAAGCTAGATAACGAATGCTCCCTGAGTGGCACAGGACTGGGCTCTCAAATTTAATTGCCAACAGTGGTATTAGTCCTGCTCCTGGGAAGAACAATAGCAGCAGCTAGCGTTTAACCCGGTACGCGTATCCGAGTGAGGCAGACATGCCTATCATTCCCAGTTGACCCAGGAGGAAAGCAGAGACTCCAAGAATGAAGCCACCGGACAGCAATTATAGAGGCCACGAAACAGTCAGTGGCTGAGCTGGAAGACGAAACCAGGTGGCTTGCCCTAGAAACCACACTCGTCCCCAGGCAGGCCTGCCTGCTCTGGGCGCTGGAGGCCCCGGCCAGCCAGGCCTTGGCCCTGTGCTCCTGGTAATGCCAGACGGGACAGGGGGATCCGGAGCTGCTCACCGGGGCTGCCCTGGATCCCTAGGCCTGAAGCACCCAGCTTGGCCTGAGGCCTGCTCCATGTTGGGCCCTGTGCTGGGCACCGCAGACCCCAAGTTGGCCCTTCCACGAAGACTCACATACCGCAGGGAGGGTGCTGCTGGTACCCTGCCCAGGCCCCTTCCCCAGGCTGGGGCCCCCTCTCCCCACTACTGAGAGGGCCGTCCACTAATGGCTCCTAGGTGCCCCTCCGTCCCCCCGTCCCCTGCATGCCACAGCCAGTGACTGGCCCACATGCGGTGTATAAAAGGTCAGCCCCCTTGCCTCAGGGTGGAACCCACTCTGGGCTCCAGGGCCCCCACGGATCAGATTGCAGCCAGACTCCAGCTGAGGCCGGACACTCCTCTGCCCACCCTATCCCGCATTCATGCCTCCTAAGAATAGCATAAAATCTTCGTCCGGGGCTCAGCTTCTAGGGAACTCAGCCTAAGAAAGGGCAGAGGGTAGCTGGCAGCTGTGCCCACGGCAGCCTGTACTGAATGTCCGGCGCCTGGGGGCAGGGAGGTCAAGCGTGTGGGAACCCACAGGGTCCAGAGTTGCAGGGAGGGGACAACACCCCTGGGCCCTCAACCACGTAGGAATCCTGGCCAGCAGGACGAAGCAGGCGCAGGGGGGTCAGGGCAGAGGTCGGTGCAGGAGAAGCTTGTGGGCCAGGCCGTGGTGTTTCCCAGTGGCCAGCGGGCCCCCGCAGGAGGCTGGTGAACGAGGTGTGGCACCGAGCAGGGAGGTTCTCTCCCCAGGGCTGCACTTTGGGGACACAAATCTCTTCTCCCTGTGGATTCCACACTCCTTGGTCTCTTCGGAGTGTGGGGACCACATCCTGAAACTTCACACCCTTCTCGTCTCCCATCCCAGCTCTGCCCAACGCAGAGACATAGCAGGCCTGGAAGAAACAAGGTTCTAGAGGTAGTTTTGCCAGGCACGGAATGTCTGGCGCGGATCCTTCTGGTGAGCCCTGGAGGGGCTCAGGAAAATGCCACCGGACAGGGCTCTGGGCACAGATGCGTGGGGCGGAGGCTGCAGCGAAGGGGGACTGGGTTCAGAATGGGGAGCCTCCAGGTCTAGGCTATACCCCCTCCTAAGGCATAGACTCCCCATATGCAAATGGGGCTCAGCTCACTGCCGTGGGGGTGGCCAGGACAACACATTGGACGCCCTGCGGGAGCTGTCGTAACCAGACAAGCTGCCCAGCAGTGGGGCCATCTGTCCACTCTGATCCCTGTGAGGAGCCTCTAGTAGGTTGAGGGCAGGAGATGGTTCCTAAAGGAGGACCCACCCACACTGTGTCACCTTTGTGCCAAGCTTCAGAACCTTCTCACACATTCTCTTTGGCTCCTTACAGTCCTGTTCACAGTCTGTGAGGGGACAGAGGAACGAGGACCACCCGACCCCTGCCCCCAGCTCAGTGAGGTCCACTGACGCAGCCTGGGCCACTTGGCATGTGAGGACGGAAGCTGGGATTCCCGGAGCCCTCGTGGCACCTGCCACTGACAGTCACGCTCGAGTAACAGACGTGCCTCAGAACGTTCTCAAGAGCCTGGGGCCAGAGCCTGAGCTGGGAGTCAGGAGCCTGGAACTTTAACCTGAACTCTAATGTCACTCCCATGGTTAGGTTTCGGCCAGCACCCAGGTCCCTCAGTCCTTCACCCCTAGGAACTGAGTCTTGCCGATGGCCATGGGAGCTCAGAAGAGGACCACTATCCCCAGGAAGGAAGCAGCCAGCCTACCCCTTGACTGGAGCCTCTGACACCCTGAGCAGAAGATCCAGCTAAGCTGGGCTGACTCCTGCCCCAGGGAGACCGTGATGATAAACAGGTGTTGTTTTAAGCCACTAAGTTTATGGTCATTTGTTTTGCAGTAATGACAAACTAATTCACCAGGCTCGGCTGTGTGGCCCCAGTCAGTCTCTGTACCTCTCTGAGCCTGTGCCCTGCTCTGCAGATCAAGGTTGTGCTCCCAGGCCTGGAGCCCGGAGCCCCAGCCCAATGTGCCCCTGAGAAGCCAAGTGACACTCCCATTAGATGACTTACCCTAGCCCGGGAGGACGGTGAGATGTAATAGTGATTCTCTGAGTCCCCAAGCCGGATTCGGTGGCGACAGGCACGAGCCAGCCCGCTCAGGGCACAGGTACTAGAGGAAAGCAGAGGGGGCCTTGGAGGCTGGCTGAGGCTCGCCCACCCAGCTCACGCAGGCAGGACGCAGCAGCCAGAAAGATGCACAGAGGGAGGGAGAGGCAAACAGACACGGGGGGTGGGACCTGGCAGCCCCTCCCTCGACCCCAGCTTCCCAAGAAGCCCAGGGCCAGGCCAAGGAAGGGGCAGCCCTAGAAGTCCCTGGGATAGATCTCGGAACTAAGCTGGATCCCACCCCTAAAGCCCTCACCTCGCCACTGTTGGGCAGGAGAGTTCAGTCAACCTCATGCCGGGTGTACCAAAGCTCCACTCTCTGCAGTCCGCCTACTTTATCGGGACACTCAGACTCAGTGATGCCCTCCCCAGCTAAACAAGAGTCTTCTCTCTCCTCCACTCTGTCACCAAGTCCCCAGGCTAGGCCTCGCAAGGGGCCTTTTGCCTGGATCCTCTCAGCTCCACGTTACAGCCAGGGGCTCCTCCAAAAGCCCGTATGTAACCCATCATCTTTCCCCACTGCTTTGCTACTGCCCAGGAAACCGTTATGGAGAATCCAGAGGAGAGGAAGGTGAAGTAGGCTCCTGGGGTGCAGGACTTATCAGTGCCTTTGCTGCCTCCAGATTCACTGTGACTCTGACTGCACTTGGCAACCCTCTTTTCAGGGTACATCTACTGATGAGCTTGTGAAATGCTGGCCTAGTGGGTCAAAGCCCAAACTTCATTCAAGGCCCTTTACACTCTGGCCCTCCTGTGTGGCCTCAGCCCCATCTCGCTACCCACGCCACCGCTCTGCAAACCCAGTGATGCTTCCATTCATACCGTGGCCTCTCACACCTTCACTCATGTTGTCCCCTCTGCCTGCAAGGCACATCCCTACTTGGCAAACTGCCACTCATCCTTCAAAATGGCTCAAATATTCCCATGAGTGACAAGACTCTCCCCAAGGGGCCTCCCTGGCAGGTCAAATCCTGGGCTGCCAAGGGAAAATGCTCCCTGTCTCTGCCCCTTGCTCTACCAAGGCTATTTTGTTCTGCTGCGAGCCCTGCTCGATGCCAGCTGAGTAGCAGGAAAGCCAAGACATGAGGGCTGTTTGGTTATTTATTAGCAGAAGGGGAGCCAACAAATGACTTCACTTACATGTCAGTCGGGGCCCAGAGCCCATTGTGGGAGAGAGAGTTGGGGGTGGGAGAGGGATGTCTGTCAGGCTGGGAAGAGGGAGACTCCAGCTCCCAGACCCCCCTGGATGGCCTGGGGGTCCGTGACTAAAGGCAGCAACTTCTGCCAAAGATTCCTCCCCGAACAGGACCGGGCGGGGGGGGGAGAGGGGGGTGGTGATGGCAGCCACCGTGCTTTTGCACTCTAGCCCACCCCCCGCCCCTGCTCCTCTCGGGTCCCACACCCGGACCCTCCGCAGGCAGGCCTGAGGCTCAATCCCTGGCCACCCCCTCGGCAGAGCTCAAGGCTAGGTGTGGCTCTCTCAAGTGCACAAGGAAGGGGGAAGGGCGCTGAACGTACTTGGTGCTGCCACACTCCACCGCGGCCACCTTCGCCGTGGGCGGCATCTGCGAAGCCACGGGCTCGATGGTGAGCGTGTTGTCCTCCACGGCGGCCCGTACCAGCGCCGAGAGCTGCAACAAAGCGGGGCAGCAGGTGGAGCAGTGAGGGGCTGACCTCTGGCTGAGGCGCTGGGCCCAGGGTCAGCCACCCTCTGCCCTGCCTCACCTCCTGCATGGTGAAGTCGAGGCAGGGGCCCACGTCCTCCCGGTACACCCTTTCAAGGAAGGGGCAGGACTTGTCCAGGGTGGGGGATTCCCTCCAGGCCTGGAACTCTGCGAACAGGGTCGTGTCCACCTGTGGGGGAGGGTGAGCGGGGCGCAGCGGTCAAGGCGCTGGGTGGGGGGGAGAGGCAGCATGGTCGGGATGGGCAGAGCCCACAGCGGTGGGGAGGCGGGGACGTTGCCGGACGGGCCCCAGCCTGCCTGCGAGTCTGTCCCCAGTGGCCAGGGAGGGAAGCTGAGTCCCGAGGAAGGACGGCCTCCTTCCTTTCGCCCCAAAGACCTCAGAACTCAAACTTGCACATCCAAGTGTGCTTTTAGCTTCCTGCCTCTACTTGGGTCCAGGGCCCCTTCCTGAAGACCCTCGCTGCCTCCTGGAGGGGGAGAAGTTGAAAAGTGGCCCCGCGGGACCCCCGCCCCCCTCCCCGTACACACAGGTACCACGGCACACACAGACACAGGCACACAGAGGGAACACACGCGGGCCTCCTGCTCTGGAGAGGCGACCCGCTGGCCGCCCTGGGGCACGTGCAGTGTGAGTGAGGCTGCGGGTGGGGGACGGAGGGGCGGCCCCTCTCTGCGGCCATTACCTGTCGGGAAAAGGAGAGAGAGGTAGCAGAGGTGGAGGTGGGGGCCGTGGGCGGCTCCCCAGGTAGGAGCTGCCAAGCCGGCTCGTAGGTGAGGTGAACAGCCTTGCTGGGGACCACGCAGAGGAGCAGGGAGAGGAGGGGGGCCAGCCCGGGCTGGGTGGGCAGGGCAGACGGACGGACAGACAGACAGGTGCACAGAGACAGACGGGAGGAAGGAGATGTTAGTGTTCAGTCGGAAGCTGAGAGCTCGGAAGTGGGGGGAGGGAGAGAGGCCTGGCCCGCACCTCCTCCCTGGAGGCTCCAGAGACATAGGGCAGGAGCGGGCTGGGGGCTGCCTTGGTGTCAAAGACCACAGGAAACAGAATCCCACGACAGCCCTTGTAGGGCTCGCCGGGTGCAGCCCTGAGCCGAGCTCCTGACATCCAGGTCTCGTCAGCGCCCCATAGCCCCAGGAGGCCCTACTTTTGTGAGGAAACTGAGGCTCTGACAGGTGACCTCACTCGCCAAAGGACATGTGGCCAAGGACCTGTGGCCGCTGCCCAGCCTGGACCAAGCAGCCCACGCACCCAGCCACCCAGGCGGGGAGGGAGACAGCTCCCAAATGCTATGCTTGTCTAGGCACCTGAGCCAGAAGGTGTCGAGGACCCTCGAGTCCAGGGATGCCCCAAGACGGTCTTGGGCGTCAGGGCTGTGGGCGCCCAGAGTCCAAGCAGCCTGTCCCCAGAGGCCCAGCAGTGGCCTCCTTAGGCCGAGGCCTCCTTGTGTCTCCAAGCAGAACTCCCCCATCCCCCCACCCAAGGCAGGCCCTCAGGCCAAGGCCAGCCTCAGGCGCACAGAACATCACCTACTGCTTAGAGGGGCTTGGAGGGCCTATCAGGCCCCCCACGTGGTACACCCAGAGGCCGAGGCCCAAACCTCCTATCACAGAAACCTGCCCAGCCCTCCCAGAGGACACAGAGGCCCAGAGAGGGCAGGCCAGGCTCCAGGTCACACTGTGAGGGGTCAGGCCTCTCCACTGGGCCCCACTGCCTGGGGGACTTTGGGCACTGTCTCCCTGTCCCGCGTCCACCACCGCCCGCCCGCCGCCCCTCACCTCTTTGCCCTCCTTGTCCGGGGTGAGGGTATGTCCGGCAGCGGGGCACACGGCGGGGCAGAGGGTGCTGCTGGTGCTCTTATGGCGCAAGTGGCCCTTGCGGGGCCCGGCCTTGGTGGGGCTCAGCAGCTGTGGGTGGAGCTCGCGGTTGGGAGAGGCCGGTGTGGACGTGAGGACCAGTGTCTTCAAGGCTGTCACCTCTGCCTGCAGCATGTCGATCTGGCCGGGGTGAGGTGGATGTCAACCTTAGTCCAGGGCTAACGCTGCCCAGGCTGCCCCTGCCTGCCGCCCCGGCTCAGGACAGCCTGTCCCGGCAGTGACTAGTACCCGACCCCTGCTGTTACCCTTGGAATGGCCTTTGAAGGGGGGACTGACACACCCATTTCCCAGCTAAGGAAACTGAGGCTCAGAGAGGAAACGCGGCCTGCCTGAGGTCACACTGTACGTCAGGGCTCTGTGACGTGCACCTGTCTGGGAGCTGGCCGGGCTTCCCACTGAGGGGCCCTCAGGAGCCAGGAACCACACAGCCCTCGCATTTTACAGATGTGCAAATAGACTCCAAGAGAGGAAGCTACCGGCCCAGGCTCCCACAGCCAGCCTGGGGTTTCTGCTTTGTAAAGGGCTTATGGAAGGAGGCAGGAGAAATTACACTGCCCATGGGATCCTCCCTGCCCTGGTGAGGCCCCGCAAAGGTCTCTGGTGCGGTGCGAACGCTGCTGGGGTCCCCGGGGAGCTGTGTCGTCTCAGACACCTCTGCCTCGACGTCCTGGGCCGTGGTCTAACCATCCCCGCCACCCACGAGAACACGCCGGGGTCCCACCGGGTGGCGAAAGCCCAGCGCTCTTGGGGGCTGGCGGGGCAGGGCGGGAGCTCTGGGTGTGGCTCGAAGCACGCGGGGGCCCTCACCTTGCCCCGCGCCTCCTTCAGCTGCTTTTCCGACGCTGCCTGCTTCATGTTGGCTGCTCGCACCATCTTGTGGGCTTCCTGGGAAGAAGGCAGGCTCCGTGTGAGTGCAGAGGGGCCTGCGGACACCCAGCAGCAGCGTTCCCCACCCTGCAACCACCCCCCGCCCCCGCCAAGCCGGCCACCACACCTCAAACAGGCTGGCTGTCAGCTCCTCCAGCTCCCGTTCCAGCTGCTCCCGCACTCTGGACAGCCGCTCACACTCCTCGTCCTTCAGCTTCAGCTCCTGGGGAGGGGGAGGGGTTCCAGGTGGGTGGCTGTGAGCCCCACAGGGGCCCCAGGCCTGGCATGGATGGGACCAGGCACCCCGCTTCCCCCCACCCGCCCCGATCAGGCTCCATTGCCAGGGTCATCTTACGTGGGCCTCTGGGCCCCGACCGCCCTTCCTCTGTTGTCCTACAGTTTATGATGCATTTTCCATTTAGCTTGTGGCATGTTGAAGCCCCACCCGCCAGTCTATTAGAGCTTAGGACAGGCTTTCAGAGAAGTCAAGACTTCTAGAAGTCCTTCAAAAGTCACAAGCAGAACTCTCTTCTGTGCTTCCCTCACGCCCAGCACAGGCCTCCGTGCAGCCAGCCCTGGCAGGTGCACAATCTCTCTGGGTGCCCAGGGAGAGCCCACAGCTCCTCCAGGCGGGCCCCTTGTCCCCGCAGCCCCTCCCGCTGCCCTCTGAGCCCCCACCTTCTGGGCTTTGTGAAGCTCCTCCCTCAGGAACTCTGAGCCCTTCTCGCGGATCTCCATGGAAGAGCTTCGCAGGCGGAGCACATCCAGCGGGGCGGCCGCAGGGCCCTCCTCACCTTGGGCCTCCTCCCCTCCAGGGGTCTCCGCCAGGCCTCTTGGGGACTCCGTCCTGTGGCTTTTGCAGGGGCCCACGCTCTTCCAGGGGGCGGGGACAGCCTCAAGGGGCGGCGGGTGGCCCTCGTCTGGGTGGGGCTGGCTGCGAGGCAAACAGCAAATACAGGGTGGGGTCCTGAGACCCAGAGCTGAGCCCAGGCACCAACCCTGGACAGCGCACCTGCCACTCCCGGCCTACTCTGTAAAATAGGGACTCTACCCGTGAGGCTGTCAAGGGCAGAAGGACCAAACATGAGGTCACCTGGGAGCAAAGCCCCGACTCACTCACCTTTGTCAACCACCCTCTCTAGCTCAGGGCCTAGGGCTGAGCTTGGCACACAGTAGGTGCTCAGTTTATCTGTCCAGCAGAAGACTGGAAATGCACCAGTGCTGAGAATCTGAGTTTCCACTTCTACAAAGTGGGGAGGATCCCAATGGCCCTACCTCCAGGGTCACTGGATGGATGTGACCTGCATAAAACCTTGGCACCCAGGAGGCACTTAAATGGGAACCGCCTTCTTGGCTATCGGCAATGCAAATTTTATGCAAATTATACCCCATTTAGGGTGGCAGGGAGAGGAAGGACCCAGCCAGGGCAGGCATTGCTGAGGTAGGAAAGTTCTGCCAAATAGCCCAGGCCAGGCGGACTGTCTTCCTGCTCCCTGTGGGGAGCAGTCTGGGCTCTCTCCGCTGGTCTGCCTTGTGAGCTCAGGCAAACACCCTTCTCTGGGCCTCAGGATCCTTCTCTCCCTGAAGTTGAAGACCCTAGAGGTAGTGAGGGGGCCATCAGCCTCTGTCCCCCACCCCCCACTGTCCATCCACACCCCTCACTTTGCAACAGACCCTGGGGAGGGAGGGAGGCAGGAAGGGAGAGGGCCCGGCCGGCACTGGTTTGTGCCAAGACAGCACCTCTGGACTCGCTCAGTCAGCAAAAGCTGGCAGCTCCTGAGCCAGCAGCTTCTGAGCGTCGGTGGCTGGGCTGAGGGTGAGTGGCTGGGCCAGGCCACTGATAACAGTGGGGAAGTGGAGGGGAGGGGGCTCAGCGGGGCCCACACAGGAGGGAGGAAAGACGAGGCCAAGGGGTCGTGAGACTCAGGATTGCTGAGGGGAAAGTGTGAAAGGCAAGACTGGGGATCAGCTGCTCCTCCCTGTCATCTGGACCCCGGCACGGTCACCAAGCAGCCCCTGAATGTCGGTGCCCCTCCCAGGTAACACAAAGGGGCTGGGGACCCAGGGACCCCCGCAATGAGCCCATTCCCAGCCCTTCACGTGGCCCTGTCCAGGCACCTAGTTTGGCCTGCCCTAGGCTTTGGAACTGGCCCAGAGTGTGGCCTCATGGTTCCTTGGCTGAGTCCTGCCTGGCAGGGACCGGGGACTGATAGATGAAGTGGGAAAACACATCTGTTACTCCATCAACAGCGTTTATGCCAAAGATCTTTCCTAATACCCTTGGGGGTGGGGGAGAGTCTCGTTGGCAAGGGGTCCCTGAGGCTCGAGGAGGGGCTATGGCAGCACTATGGCGGCCCTGGGCTGGGGTCCGCACCCAGGGGACTCCCACCATGCCAGATGCTGGGATACTCTGCCCATGCCCTCTCATTTAGGGCTCTCAGTAGCATTTGTGGGACTGTCCCCATCCCACAGATGAGGGACAGAGTCTACAGAAGTGCAGAACTTGCCCAGGTTCACACAGCTGGTGGGTGGCTGTGCAGGATGGGCAGCCAGGTCTTCAGCCTGAAGCCCCCACCGGGTGGGGGGGGGGGTGAGTATGAAATCACTGCATCAGCCTCAGGGTCAAGGTCTACAAGGCCCCGGGTGGACTCAGGAGACGACTCCTTGCCGCAGCAGGGAAATCTGACCCAGTTCTGGCCCGACCAACTTCTCAGCCTCTGCTCAGGCCCAGACACTGCCTCCCAGGAGGGCAAAGCCAGGGTCCAGGCCAGGCTCTGAGCGGGGGTACGCGCCAGCCCCTGCGAATGTCACCAAAGTTCTCTGAAGCTGCTTCCCACCTGTGGGACGGGGGTAACGACCTAGAGTCACTGGAGAAGCACCACGTAAAGACCGTGCCGTCCGTGGCCACATTTGGCAGATACCCCTACTGTGCCTGCCCGGGCTCTGGGTCCCGCGGCTGAAACCGCAGGCCTCAGGGAGGTCCTTCCCGCTGAGAGTCTGGGGGCCCCGGGCCCAGTGCCATTTCTTCAGGTGAGAGAGGATGGCCATAGTCACTCAGGCTTGGGGGTGGGGGGACGGGTGGCAGACCCCAACTCGAGGACTGCACGTTTCAACAGGATGGGTGAGAACTGTGGGCCAAGGGTGGGGGTGACCCAGGCAGGATTCCAGGTTTCAGACAGCCAGCCCCAGTGCCTTTCCTTCTGCAAGGACCACCCCACACATCAGCCATGTCCCCGCCGAGGAGAAAAAGACCTCCAGCCCCTCCCACGAGGGCCACCAGTGTGGTCTGGGCCCCGGGCCCGAGTGAAAGACACTAACTCTCCTGCTGGTCCCAAGGGCATGGGCTGGGGTTATGGCTGGACTGCCCCCCCTTAGTTTCCCAACAGGCTCTCACTTCAGCCCCCTGCCGGGAAGGATGGGGGCCCTCTTTTGCAGCCAGCCAGAGGCAACAGTGGCCTCCCCACTACCCATCTCCCATCCTCCCCGCCCCCGGCTTCCCCAGTGAAAAAGCCCAACTCAAAAAATCCTAATGGCCGAAAGCATATGAAGAACACGTCCACCCCGTAGTCACGAACCACCCAATGCCGGGGCCAGGGGTTCAGGAAAGACACCCCCCGCCCCCACCCACCTCGGTACTGGAAGGGACGCTTGAATCTGTAGGCCCTCCCCTCACACTTCTAGGCTGTGAGGCGACTCAGAAATTTCAGGAGGGGCCCTAGGCCCCACAGGTCCAGCCCCAGCTTCACACACTTTAGCATTCCAAACCAAAGGCTGGCAAACCTCAATGGGACCACCTGCACTCCTTGGACAGGCATGGGCTACCACACCGCACCCCCTCCCCGCCCCTCAGCCCTGGTCCACGGCCCTCTGTTGGAACCTTTTCCGTCCCCATTCCCCGCAGAAACAGAGTCCAGCATCCACAATACGCTGCAGGGGCCCCTGGGAAGGGGTTAGAGGCAGGAGATAGTAAGAGTCAAGGTCAGAGGAAAGTGGGAGCATCCAACACCCTCCATCCTGAACCGGCTCCACTGCCCGGAGCCCACGACAGTTTATACAGGAAAGGCCCCACTGGGTCACTTCCCCAGGAAACACACAAGGGGGTGGGGGTGCAGTAAAGCAATCCTCACCCCCGCCAATCCTGCCCTAGGCCAGCCGGCATGGCTTTGTCTCCATCCACAAAAAACGGCAAAATGAGAATCAGGTCCCCTGGATCCTATGGTCTTCAGTCACCCGGAAACCCCCACTGGACCAGGAGGGCCTGTGCAGAGGTCACTCCCAGGGGCCAGGAGGGCCCAGCGAGGATCCTGCATACCTCTTCCCATCTCCGGCCCAACCGGCCCGCCATGAGGTCTTTCTGCCCCGCGGTCTCTCCCTGTCCACTGACCAGGGCCCAGGTCACCTCTTTGAATTAAAGATCCTTGTGCTGATGGGCATGACAGGTTCATTAAAGAAGCTGGAAGGAGCTGGTTAGGGAGGCTCTGGAATTGGAGGGAGCAGAGCTGGGACCACCGGGACACAATGGGACCGCTAGCATCCGCCCGGGGGCCAACAGGGTGGCTTCGGCTGATCCGGTCTACAGGGTGGTGCCACGGCACAGGGGCCCAGTTCAGACTCGTGCTCATGCACCCACAGGTGTTCCCGTAAGCCCTGAGGGCACCGAGGCTGACAGCCAGGTGACTCTGGTCTGGGGGCCGCGGGGGGTCCCAGGAAAGGCTTCCTGCAGAGGCTCCCTGACTAGCCAGCAAGCCCGGCCAGGCTGAGCTGACAGAGAGGGGCTAAGTCTACAGCTCCAAACCGTCAAGCTGTGTTCGAGTCCCAACCTCACGATGCCGCGGCAGGGAGATGCTCTCCCTAGCCCGCTTTGGACGATGAGGCACGTGATGTTCAGAGAGGGGTGGCGACCTGACCGGAACAGACAGCCAAAAAGTGACAGGGTGGGAACTGAACCCAGAGTCCCAGCTCTATCGCATCATGTGACGCGTCAGCCGGAAAAATCCAGACGGGAGGAAAGATGAATGGTGGTTTTGGAGAAGTGGGGCGGGATGCAGATGGGGTTTGAGGAAGTCTGTGGGCCGGGAGGGGGCTGTGCACAGGCCACGCAGACACAAAAGACTCAGGGCTGGGGGGACTGTGGCATGACCTGGGGCTGGAGAGAGGGACAGGGGAAAAAAAAAACAACAAAACTGCAGTGCCTAGGGCCAGAGAGCCAGCCTGGAGGTCTGAGGAGCAGCCACTGCCAGGGTTGAGAAGGGAAGGTTCCAGAAGAACAGGACAAGGGTGTCATATATTTCATACATAGGAGCAGGAGGCCAGGCCTGCAAACTGAGTGGGACGCCAGCGTGGGGTGGGGGGCGGGGAGAGAAGGTGCAAGGGGGAAACAGAGCGGGAGGGCGGAGGTCAGCAACAGCCTCGGGATGGAAAGCAGGGAGGTTGGACACCTGAACCCGGTGGACCAGACCAAGCAAACCGTTCCCCGCCACAGCCCCAGGGCTGCCAACCCGGTCCCAGCCCAGACAAGAAATCCAGCCCCGTGTCTCCACTGGGAGCCAACACAAGGCCTGGGAGGGTGGGCGCCGAGCAAGGGGGCACACAGCACATGCCTCACATCCTCCTGCTTAGTCCTAGTAGAATCTGACGCCCTATGACCTTGAAAGTCCAATAGATATATAGTGAGCGCCCATCGTGTGCTAGGCACCCCACCAGCCCCGATCCACCCAATCTGCATGACTGCACACGGAGCTCCCTTCGGACCACATTCTAACTCATTTTGCTCCCCCTCCTCCACCACCCTATTGGGCACAAATCCTGGGCAGACCTGGGGAGAGTCTAGGACAAGCAGGATTCTCATGAGGGTCTGAGCTCCACACAAGTGCAGGAAATATAGCTCCACCGGTTGAGGGGGCAGGGGCTGGTGGGGGGGCGGGGTTGGTTAGATCCAGGAGAGCTTCCCCGGAAGAAGCAGCTGGGAAAGGTGAATGACTGCTGCCCAGGGAGGAGGCCCGCCCTCCTGCTCCTGAAGCCCCCAGACCATACTTCGGAGGAAGTCCGAGCCTGTAGACCCCTGTGACCTCGGCCCAACCCAACCGGCAGGGGCTCCCAGATCCAAGCCCCGTAGGGTAACAACACCCAGAGCAGTTAAGTGACCTGCTCAAGGCCACACAGCCTATGTGCAGCCCTGGAGCGCCGCCCCCCCCCCCCCCCAGGGTCCTGCCTGCTAGGACACAGTCCTCCATCCCTGGGAGGTTGGGGGGGGGGGCTTGTTTCATTCCTGAGGGGTCAGTCAGAGACTGGCCCTCCCTAGAGAGAAGTATGATTGGCCCCATCTGTCAGATAGGGAAACTGAGACCAGGGGGCTAGACCAATGGCATGTGGCCGCTTAGCGGCAGAAAACTAGCCCAGAACTCAATTTCTGGTCTTTGCTGACCGAGCCCCAAGTGCCCAGCACCACGTCAGCCGCAGATATACCCAAGATGCTGTCCTCACTGCCTCAGAGCAGGCTTGGCCACCAAGACTGTGGACGTGGGAAACTGTGGGAAACGGGGAGGGGAGTATCCCAGTTATGGGGGAGCTGCCTCTGGGTTCAGAGTTCAGGGCTCCTGCTCACGGAGTCCCCAGGAAGAGGGCCTGCCTGAGCTCCTGCAGAGTCCTGCCCCTGCCACCCACCCTAGGAGAGCAGCCCTGGGTCCGGGGCCAAGGGGGCGAACTGGCACCAGGACCCAGCCATCAACAGCTGCTATTCCTCACCTACCGATGAGAAAACGAAACCCCAGGGACATTGACAGCTTAGCCAGGGCCACTGACTCCTGATCCCCGACTCATACTCTAGAATGAGGGCCCAAATATATACCTACCCAGACTGTCATGAGCCACTGGAGGCCACAAGCCCAAGCAGCTCAGTCAGACTTACGTGGGCAAGTGTGACCCCAAGCAGGGTCCCTTCCAGCTCCTGCTGGGGTCTGGATGAGTTTCCAGGACACCAGACCCCCAGTGGATGCTGGCAGTTTGGCCCCTGATCCTTCTTCAGTCCCTGCCTCCAATATCCAAGTCGGGGGAGGGGAGTCCATAAAAATGCAGTGCTCAGGGGAACCCCAAAACTCTGCCTCTCATTTCCAGGTCCAGCTCCTCCTTCTGCCCCCTATGCTTTCCATCTGCATTTATAAAGCGCCTGCTAGGTGCTCTGTACCTGAGGCCCTAGGGGTCCAAACGTACATGCAAAAGGTGAGCTATACTGAGGATCATGGCGTGGGGAGGTCAGCTTGGCAGCCTGGTTCATCCAGAAGGCTCTTGGAAATATGGCAGGGAGGCCGGACTAGGGGTCTTCTCCAAGACCTGGAGTCTTTTTGACTTTGTCTTTAAAGAGAGCGTCTATCTGTTGACGGCTCCCAGCCCTGTCTGTCTGGCCCTGGCCTGGATGCCTCCAGGGAAGAGCACTCTGGGCCTGGATCACGCCTGGATCACCTGCTCATTTCATCCAGAGACCCAGAGAAGTGAGGCCATACGCTCAAGATCACACAGCAACTCAGCGACTGTGTTTTGCCTGGGTGGCCCCAACACGTGGGGTCACAAGCTTCTTCCAGACTAGGCTGCCCCTTAAACACAGTTAACCTCAGGCAAGGATTGCGCTAATCTCACCAGGTTCCACATTAACCACTTTTTCCGGAAACTCACTCTTCTTGGGCGGGGTGGGGGTGGTAGTGGTCATGGTGTGGTGATTACGTTTCCAAAGAACACACAGGCTCCGCTTCAACTTTCGCCCTTTAAGAGTCTCACCCCTCTCCACACCTCACCCCTACCAGGAGCCCTTTCTCTCAGCACCCCCTGCTGGGGACAAAGCCCCACAACTCCCTAGCATCTCAGCTCCAGCTTTGCTGGGCACCTGGAGTAAAGTGGACCCAGCCCACATTAGAAACCTCTCCAACCTGCCAGTCTCCCGAGAGGCTTCCCTCACTCCCCAGCTGTGGCTGGGAAGGGGCCCTGTCCTGGGACCACCCAGTTGGCCCAGTTCTTGACAGGAATACAACCCACCCCACTCTGGCCACATCTCTTCCAGGACCTGGCCTTTCCAGGCTATGGGGAAGAGGAAGTGTTTGCCCAAGTTCCTGACAAGACCACAGGCTTTCTGCACGGCCAGGGCAGGGGTCCCACGCCAGGTGGGCCAGAGACTGGGATCACCCCTGACAGCCAATAAACAGTCACGGGGACTGGGGCCACCAAGCCGGGCCCCACGGCTGTGCCGCCCCCTTCGGCCCGCAAGGAGGTCCCACCCCACACCTCCGAGCCAGGCCGGAGCCAGCAGCCCCAGATGGAGCTCCATCAACTTACTAGCGACCTTGGCAGAGACTCGGCCCCCTTTCTCCCACTGCACTGCTTTCCAAAGGTTCATCCAGGCTTGGGGGCCCCCTCCTCCAGGCGCGCCCCCCAGACTTACTCTGGCTTGCACCCCCCGCTGCCTCCCTCCTCACTGGCGCTCCAGAGGAGCTAGGAATTGGCGCCGTCCCGCCGGGGAAGGTCTGCCGCCCACCCTTCACAGTCCCCACCCTCCCGGAGACCCCCGACCGCCCCCCGCCGGGTGTCCTTCCACCTCCGCCCCGAGTTGGCTCGCCCGTCCTCGGGCCACAGGGGGCCCCTCCGCCGCGGGCAGGGGGCACACGCGGCAGGGACCCCCCC